TCTATCTATCTATCTATCTATCTATCTATCTATCTATCTATCTATCTATCTATCTGTTTGTCCGTCCGATAATGTTTTGCCTAATGCAGAGTTACAGTGTACGCTCCCTGTAATTTGCAGGTAGATATGTAACAGTCTGAGTTGTTGGATGTCTTGGTAAGTTGGGTTTTTTTTTAGTTTTGATTTTGATAAGAGTTTTACGGTGCTTGCAACTATAATATAAGGTCATATGAGCGCGCATGATTTAAGATGGTCTTTCTTATGTTAGTTCGTAGTAGCACATCTTGGTTTTACTATTTTAAAAATCTGAATAGTTGGCGTATTTTAAATGTAAATTGGAAATCCTTTTGTAAAATAACAATAGTTTACACGTTTCAAATGACATTACTATCGTTTATCGTACAGACCAATGGCCTTAAAAAATCGAGAATTGTGCTGGGATCAACAACGGAGAACACATACTTCAAATAAGTGCATTTAGAATATTTCCTTCGGGTCTCTCAACTGTCTGGACATTCTATTAGGATCTGCCTGATCGTAAAGATGCAGTATCGCATCCGACACAAAAGGGGTTTTCATCTCCCTGCAGGAGATATCTATGCGTCAAGGAGGTATGTCCAATCCAAAACGTAATTTTGTAAAAATTACTTTGTCTCTTCTTGAGAGACCTGGGGAGTTTCGTGGACCCAACTGGGGCATGATGTTGTGGAGTTAATTATTCATAGTTTCGCCCTAATGCTCACTCCATAGACTGTAAGTGTAGGCTTTTGCGAAGAAATTAAGAAAAAGTATTATCTGGACAAAAAGACTGGAGGAAATATAGATAAAAACAAATATATGGCCGAGGAAGAGAATCAAAACATGTGAGAGTAGAGAGACGTTGGAAACTCTTCTGACAGTACCTACTGAAGAGCGCCTGTTCCAGGCTCGAACCAGGATCTTCTTGACCGTAGCCCAGCAAGATACCTAGTGAGATGTCGCGGGTGCAAAAACGAGCTGTGATAGCAACTTTGAAGACAAAGGATGACTGAGGGTGCAAATTCAACTGATGTGAAATTACACACTGCGTCAGAAGTTAAAGTTTACTCGTTCCTGTTTTGTTTTGTTTTTTAACTGCCCAGTATTTTACTTCGACTGATTGGAAATGGGTAAACTGCGCCCTAAAATCTCGCAATACTCGACTCTTGGAAGCTTTTCAGTATGTCAAAACACGATGTCTCGCCCTTCCCGCGACCCCCACTCCTCCCCCGGTAGAAGTGGCAGATAAAGTAAATAAATAGTAAGAAAAGTAGAAAAGTATTGAATATACATGTTTTACGGCCCATAGAAATAATGTTGACAAAATCAGAGGCTGGCTGTGGCATGGTACACCGTGGCTGAGTGCAGAAAGATGGGAATACTCGGTATAATAATCTCCCACGTTAGGAATCGAACTCACAGCTTTTGCATAGAAGAATAAGAAGCTAACTTAATTTGCACCTCAAACGCCGGCAAGATTATTCTGCCCGTTATGACTAGCACAAATGTATGGTTCAGTGTGAAATTCTGACAGTGTGACCGTTAGCCTTATCTTCCTGATCCGATCTTAAATACCGGAATATCGGACAATAATGTACATAATCATCACCCAGCCGCGTTCATCATTGCTCCCAGCCATCTACCGAGCAGAATACGATTTCGCACCGAAAGCCCTGGGGACAAAATTATCAAGTCTTTGGAATCTAACGGTAAAGTATTTGACCTGGTACCGTCAGATAAAAAATGTGATTAGCGGTTGGATAATAGTATATATTCATACATAGAGCGTATTTGCCTTTCCCCTTCAGCGAATCGGGACAGTAATGTATTTACTGTTCATCAAAAATCTCATCTAACTATTTACTCAGGCGTTTATTTACTTATCCCTTCATCATTTCCTCTAATTTGCTCGTTTTGTGCAATAATAAGCAGAAGAGCAAGACAATAAATAGGAGGAAGGGGCGACGTGGAAAGATGAGGGAGAGAAAATGAATAGATGGCATATAAGGAGTGGAAAGGAAGAAAAACAGAGGAAAATTAATTCAAAAGAGAGACAAAAGAGGAGGAGCAGGAGGGGTGAAAATGACGATGATGGTGATGATGATGGTGAAGATGAAAGAAAAAAGAAAAAGAGTTAATTTTGTTTTCCTTTTCTGTGTGTGATTTGGGGGTGGGT